GTTATATCCTATTTTTTTTTTCTGAGATGCAGATCTTGTAACACCGAATCCCTTACTCTCATCATGCATATTTCATGTCTTGTATTTCATTTCACTTGTTTTAAAATTGCCCTGAAGTTAATTTTTATTAATTCAGGGGAAGCATATTCAATTCACCCTTTCTGCACATTCAGTGTGAGAAGAGAGGCTATCCATGTCCATGCCAGTCTAGTCTGCTACATGGATCTGAGTCCCTGATGCAGTAAGTTTGACAAAATGCTGACCCGTTTTGTGCTTCTGTTTCTGGTCACAGCTGGGAGAGGCTTTGGAGATCATCTAGGAAAGGGATGCCCTTATTCTACATAAGCCCACAGGAAAGGAAAAGTCCAGACAACTTTTCTAAGGAGGATCAGTGGAAGAAGAGATGGCTGTGGCTTTAGGAAGCCAACCACTCTGCTGGAGAAAAACATGGCTTGTCTGTCCGTCTGTCGTACTGTAGTGGCTTGTGTGTTGCTGTGATGCTGGCAGCTGTGCCACAGATGTTTCAAGTCTCAGCAGGGCCACCCATGTGGACAGGTGTCAGGGGAGCTTCCAGACTGAGACACAGTAGGAACAAAGGCCTGGTGACCTGCTTCCAGAAATTAGCCCGTGAGAATCCTGTGGATCACAATGGAACACTCTCTGACCTGCCGGCTTCGGACACGCCATCAGGAGGGGCCGTTTGCTGGAGGAGGACATCGTGTTTGGAGAAGGAGAGGGTCCATGAAGGTGTGGGAGTCCCTCGGTGAGATGGATTGGCACAACAGCCACAGTGATGGCCTGGACATGCTGGGCAGTGTGAGGATGACGCACGACCAGGCAGTGTTTCCTTCTGTTGCTTATAAGGAGTCGGCAGGAAGGCAGCTGACCACACCCACAGGAGATACTGCCTGCTAGTCTTAGGCACAAGAGTGACAGGATCAGATTTGCATTTTAGTTAAGAGAAATGACCAGTTTACCAATGCTTTGTCCAGTAGGAGTGGTTAGTCTGCACGAACAGGGAACCCTGTAGATTGTTGTTTCCTTACAGTTGGTGCAGTGCAGCGAGTGACTTGGTATGGCTTTTCTAGCCATAGTCTTGGTAACTCCCACTGGATTACTGGGTAGGACCATGCAAAGGTATGTAGAACTCTAACGTTGTCATTGGTTAGTTTTATCACTCTACCAGGCTTAAAATGAGCCTTCCTAGAGGCAAAGAGGGGATCTCACTGCCATCAAGAGAGAAGAGCTAGACGTGAAGTGGAGCATGTCCTTGAACCCGAGATCCCTACGTCAGACCTCCTTGGCTGAGAGACACCCCAGCAGAGAGATGCCCTGGTGGGGAGATAGTGGCAGTGGAACCAAAAGGCATGAGACAGAGTAGCAGGTTTACCTAGCCCACAGAAGCAGAGGCCAGGCCAAGTGGCCAGGGGCCAAAAAGGTGTGTCTTAGGGCATAGCAGAGGGGAGACTCTCCTGATCGAAGAACTGTATCCTGAACCTGTTTCTGAACCTTGAATTGTAGCCTGTTACTCACCTAATAAACCCCACAATTGTGAGTTTTGTCTGTGAGTTCTGTGTGGCCATTGCAACGAAGTATTGAACCCAGCAGAGAAATAGTGAGTGCCATGGGAGGGATGGTTGGTGTGAGAATTGATAAAAGGCTAGAGGGTGGAGGCATGTGGCCTCACAGGAATAAGCTTGGGCTGCTGGTGGCTATTGTGTCTTCCTGTTGTGAAGTTAGAGGAGGTCATAAGATGCCACCTCCAGGTCCTTTGTGCAGTTGGCATGAGGGGCGAGGGCATGGCCAGGAAGGTTGTGGAGTTATGGAAGGGAGAGTCAAGCAGGTGGTATCTAGAGGTGGGGGTTAGAGGCACTCACATCCAGGAGAAGAGTAGGAAGTCCATCACAGACCTCAAGGACATGGCAGGGCCATGGAGGCTGCCCTACAGGGGCCCTACAGTCTTCATGCAAATTGAGGATTTGCATCTCTGTGGGTGTTGACTGAAGACGCTTCTTTACCTTCTGTGGAGCTGGCAGATAGTTTTACTGGATGGCTTCCATGGTGACACTAGACTCTCAAGTCTCCATGAGGTGCCCTGGAGGTGTCAGATTGGTGCTGGGGAAGTGGCCCGTGTGAAGCCAGCCTTTTGGGTCAAGACGGACCTGCTGATGAGGTAACAGCCTGCCAGGAGGGTGCGCCGGCTGGGTCCTGCACCAGCGCTGGAGGCAGGACGCGAAGCTGAGAGTCTGCATCCCAGAAGTGTCTGCACAGTACACACAGGACAGCAGGAAGGGGTGCTCCGGAGTCTAAGAGAGGGCCAAGTCAGGGAGGGGTTTCAGTGATGCCCCTTTCTTCATTATACGTGTTCTGTATTATTTAGCTCATTTATAATGTGTACGTGTGTGGTGGTTGTTTGTGTGTCAACTTGGCTGGGCCTGGTTGAGTGGCTGGATAGCTGAATGTAGTTATTCCCCACGGTGATGCTGGTAATTAACTCCATGGTGGAATGTACTGGAGTAGCTGAGTAGCTGCTTTAGGGATGTGGTCTGCTTCCCATATATAAGAAACAGCTTTGGGAATGGTCTCTAGCTTATGGCACGTTCGGACCCTGCATGTAGCTGTGTCATTGTTCAGCAGCCTGCCATGCTCTGCCAACCTTGCGACTTACAACAGACTTGAATTAATGGCTTGCCATGTGGTTTGGTAACATCAGGATTATGCCATTTTATTTGTCAACCTTGGGCTTGTTAGCCTCAGCAGTCAGTAGCTGCCTGAGTGAAGATATGCCTCTAGTTTTAATGGGCCAGGAGCAAGAGGCAGAGCTGAAGCCCAAGGTTGAGGGCTTTCACCCAGCCCATAGAGCCCGGCACTTTGAACTTGGACTTAAAGCCTCCAAACTGTGAGAAAATAAACTCCTGTTTGTTAAGGCCATCCCATATGTGGTATATATTCCTGTCAGAGTGTCACTGTTGTTGTTATGTGCTGTCAAGCCAGACCCGACTCATAGCGACCCCTCCTTGGGTTTCCGAGGCAGTATCGCTACGGAAGTAGATTGCCCATCCTTCCGAAGAGTGGCTGGTGGATTTGAACAGCCAGCCTTCTGATTAGCAGTCAAGTGCCTTAGGCACTACGCTACCAGAGCTCCCAGAGTGGCACTAGGTAACCAAAACAACATGGAATTTGCATATGCAGATCATGTATTATATAATATAATCTCGGCTGTGCCAGGAGATTTGGAAGACAGCTACATAGCCAACTGACTGGAAGAGATCCATATTTGTACCCATTCCAAAGAAAGGTGATCCTACAGAATGTAGGAATTATCGAACAACATCATTGATATCACATAACATCTTACTGAAGATAATTCAAAAACGGTTGCAGCATTATACAGAGAACTTCCAGAAATGCAAGTTGGATACAGAAGAGGAAGTGGAACGAGGGATATCATTGCTGATGTCAGACGGATCTTGGCTCAAAGCAAAGAATACCAGAAAGATGTTGACTTGTGTTTTGTTGATGATGCAAAAGCATTCGATTGTGTAGATCATAACAAATTATGGATAACATTGAGAACAATGGGAATTCCAGAACACTTGATTGTACTCATGAGGAACCTGTACATAGACCAGGAGGCTGTTGTTCGAACAGAACAAGGGGACACTGCATGGTTGAAAATCAAGAAGGAAGTGCGTCAGGGTTGTATCCTTTCACCACACTTACTCAGTCTGAATGCTGAGCAAATAATCCGAGAAGCTGGAATATATGAAGAAGAACGTGGCATCAGAATTGGAGGAAGAATCAGTAACAACCTGCGATACGCTGACAACACAACTTTGCTTGCTGAAAGTGAGGATGACTTGAGGCACTTACTGATGAAGACTGAAGACTACAGTCTGCAGTATGGATCACATGTCAATATTAAGAAAACAAAATTCCTCACAACTGGACCTACAAGCGGCATCATGCTAAATGGAGAAAAGATTGAAGTTGTCAAAGACTTTACATTGCTTGGTTTTACAATACACACCAATGGAAGCAGCAGTCAGGACATCAGATGACATATGTTGTTGTTTGTTGTGGTGTGCCGTTGAGTCAGACCCAACTCATAGCGACCCCTCCTTGGGCTGCCGAGGCAGTATCATTACGGAAGTAGATTGTCCAACCTTCCTTCTGAGGAGCGGCTGGTGGGTTTGAACCGCCAGCCTTCTGGTTAGCAGTCAAGTGGCTTAGGCACTACGCCACCAGAGCAAATCTGCTGCAAAGGACCTCTTTCAAGTGCTGAAGAGCAAAGAGGTCTCCTTGAGGACTTAAGTGTGCCTGACACAAGCCAAGGTATTTTCAATCGCCTCGTATGCATGTGAGAGCCAGACAATAAGGAATACCAAAGAGTTGATGCTTTTGAGCCATGGTGCTGGTGGAGAATGCTGAAAGTACTGTGGACTGCTAAAAGAAGTAACAGATCTGTCCCGGAGGAAGTGCAGTCGGAATGTTCCTTGGAAGCAAAAATGGTCAGACTTCGTCTCACCTACTTTGGTCATGTTGTCAGAAAGATCCATTCCCTGGAGAAGGATGTCATGCTTGGTAAGGTGGAGGGTCGACAAAAGAGGGGAAGGCCTTCAACAAGACGGATTGACACAGTGGCTGCGAAGATGGGCTCAAATATAGCAGGGATCAGGGAGCTGGCTCAGGACCGGGCTCACAGAGGCAGAGAGGAGTCTCGCACGGCCAGGCCTCCTGGCGGCCCCCCGGAGCGTGCAGAGGGTCCTGAGAACCAGACCCCTTAAATCTCAGCAGGGACCAGGACGATCCGCCACTCCGAACCCAGAGTCCAGGCCCCGCCCCAGAGCCTCGCCGGTCTCCTTACCCAAGTCCCGCCCCCGACAACCACTGGCCCGGACGTGCAGGTCCCGCCCCTCCTCCCTCCCGCGGAGGAAGCGGAAGTGGCGGTGGGCCGGGCGGAAGCCGGAAGTGGGGAGCGAGCGAGCGGCGGTTGTGCTGGGACAGGTAGTGCGCGGCGATGGCGGAGAAGTTCGACCACCTGGAGGAGCACCTGGAGAAGTTCGTGGAGAACATCCGGCAGCTGGGCATCATCGTCAGCGACTTCCAGCCCAGCAGCCAGGCTGGCCTCAATCAGAAGCTGTGAGTGGCGCCGGTCCCCCCAGCGGGTGCCCGGGCCCTCCGCAGGCCGACGGCCGCCCGCGCCGCTGCGCCTGCTGCCCGAGGCCGCCCCGCAGGCAGCCCGCCTTTTCCGGAGCGTGGCCGGACGGCACGTCCCAGTGGCAGAGGGAGCCAGGCCTCACAGCCGCCCCGTGTGGCTCCCGCCCAGCGGCCCCTCCGGAGACTGTTGGGGAGTTCAGGCCCCGTCCCCAGGGGGCGACAGGCTTGGCAGCGAGCGCCTGGATCAGGCCTCGGCAGGGCTGGGAGCGCCCTGCCCACAGACCTGAGTGTGCAGGGCTGGGTGGCGGGCGACGCAACCCCAAAGCAGGAATGCTTTCGCCAGCCGCCTTGTGCTGGGCCGTGGGAGGACGCGCCCGCGCAGAACGACAACCGGGGCCTTGGTCCTGTCGCCGGGTGACCTGCCAGCTGCTCGGGGCAGCGGGCGCGCGGTGCTCGGGTGGTCCCTTTCCCGTCCGAACTTGGGGTGGAGTCCACGCCCCCCCAGGTAACCGAGAGCGCGCGCACTGCCCTGGACGTCAGAGGGCTTGCTGTTGAAAAAGGGGCCACCGTTGTCAGGGAACCTCACTGGGGTCGGTGCCCCGCCCATATTGTTTGGAAGGGAAGCACCACCTGTTTGACCGAGCTCTGTGACGCCACGGCTGTGGACTTGGGTCCGCTGAGCGGAACGCACGCAGGTGGTGGCAGGAGCCTTGGCTCTGCGGGGTGACAGTATTTCTGCGGGGGTCTGAAGTCACAGTGCCTGCTTTTTCTCTTCCCAGGAATTTTATCGTGACCGGCTTACAGGATATCGATAAGTGCAGACAGCAGCTTCACGATATTATGGTCCCTCTAGAAGTTTTCGAGTAAGTGTCCTTACCCTGTTCACTGGGGTCCGTAAGGATTACTTGGGGATCTGGTTGAATTGCAGGTTCTGAGTCAGTATTTCTGGGGTGGAAAGGGCAGTTCTCGGCAGTAGGTGAACGGGAATAAACCGGTTCGAAGGCCTAGAAAATACCAAATCCCTGACCATGGCAAAGTGGCATGAGACCATGAACTCACCAGGGCTCATGAGTGAGCGTCGCTGGGTTTCCAGAGTTGGGTGTGTGTTGACAAGTGTCTGCACGTAGAATCCAGCTCAGCTGATTCCCGGACTTCACGCCTTCCATGAAGTGAAGCCTGGACCAGTCTTCATTTAGCCTGTTTCCCAGAAAACTAGGTGTCACCCACAACAGTGTAACTGAGATATTCCCTGTTTTCAGGTACATCGATCAAGGTCGAAACCCCCAGCTCTACACCAAAGAGTGCCTGGAGCGGGCTCTGGCGAAAAACGAGCAGGTGAAGGGCAAGATTGACACGATGAAGGTGAGGCGGGAGGAGCGAGTGGTGGCAGGACACGCCTCTAACGGGTCCTCACCCAGCGTGGCACGGGGCCGAGAGACTTGGTGGTTCCTTTCCCAGCCTGGTAGCACGTTGGCGCTGTGGTGATGAATCGTGTGAGGGGGCTGAGGGTAGGTGTAGTGAGTGGCATGAGGAGTGGCTAAGTGCTGGCCTGCTGTTATGAAGCCCGTGTGTGTCTCTTGATTGTTGGTTGTCACGATTTACTCTTTCCATCCTTTCAGAGGACTTTAGATTCTCAAGTTCACACTTGCTTGGCCAGATGGCATCTGACTCCTGGGCCAAGGTCTTTTCCATGGGTCTTCATTTATTCTTGCTTATAGTGATCATCCCTGGCTTTTGCCGTCTACGCCTTGGTCCCTTGTTCATGCCCACGATGCTCCCCACAGAGAACTCACTCTCTGTTTCTGTGTGCTTTGATGGGATCTAGAAACGTGCATCTTGGGCGTAAAATTTGTAACGTTTTCTTCCTTAAATGGACTGAAATATGGTTCAGGGCAGTGAGTTTCTGTGCCTGGCTGGCATCTCTGCCTTTGGCAGCCCGTTTCCGCTGGGCCTCTTCTCACAGGGCCTACAGTGATTGAACCCCTGCCCTTCACGCCTGCTCATCCTGCCCACATTCTTGCCAGCTGCCGGGGCCTCGTTTCCAGGATACACCAAACGCCTTTCTGTCAGCTTCTTTTCTTGTGGCACCACCTCTGCTTAGAGCTCTTCTGTCGTCTCTTTTTCTTGGTTCCGTCTCCTCCACTGGCTGGTTAAGCTGCGGAGTCACAGGCCCTGAGTGTGTTCCAGCCATAGGCCCAGTGTCCGCCCTGGACCAGGCTGGCACACATGTGCCCAGCCCGTGTCTCAGCCCCTGGGTGCTCAGAGGGTTCCTGGCCGCACGGAGGCGCTGGGCAGAGAGGCCTTGTGGAGATCTGCACACCTTCCGGGAACATGGCCAGGGCTGTGGCTGGGGCAGAGCTCTGAGGATGGGACCAGACTGCCCGCCCCTCTGGCAGTTCCCCGTGGGTCTCGTGCAGGGCCCTTGGGCGGCAGCTCTGTCCTGCTGCGGCGGCATCTGTGTAGGGTTGTGGGCTGTGCAGACTGCTTTGTTGGGCTTGAAGATGAGTGACTTGTACCGTCAGGCAGGACCTCTCTCTGTACCGTGGTTGCTCATACACGTGTGACTCCACACCCACGGTGCTTCAGTTAAACCCCACACCTCTGGAAGGGTCAGAAAGCCCCTTGGGCAGTGGTGCCGTGGCTCACTTTATCTTTGCTTTGTGTCATTTGCCACTTTGTGCCATTTTCTCGTGGAGTCCTCTTGGAATCGTGAGTCAGTTGTGGGCCTCTGTTCGTGTAGCGTGCCGTGCACTAAGCGTCTGGAAGTCAGGGTTACCAGTGACTCTAGCACAGAGAGGAGGTCCTCCCTTGGAGGCTAATTTGAAATGATTCACACGGCTGTGTCCTCTGTGCTGTTTTCACTATAAAATCTGAAAGAAATCCAACCCAGTTGCTGTCCAGTCAGTTCTGACTCACGGTGACCATACAAGGCGTACAACTGCCCCATAGGGTTTCAAAGGCTGCAGTCTTTACAGAAGCAGACTGTCACATTTTTCTCCCATGGAGCAGCTGTTGGGTTAGAACTACTGGCCTTCCTGTTATCTGAGTGCTTTAACCACTGTACCACCAGGTGCCTTTTTTTTTAGTATTAAAAAAACCCAAATTCACTGCTGTCAAGTCGGTTCTGACTCATAGTGACCCCTCCTTGGGTTTTGGAGGCGGTGTCTCTACAGAAGTAGATTGCTCAGTCTTCCTTCCGAGGAGTGGCTGGTGAATTTGAACCGCCAGTCTTCTGGTGAGCAGTCAAGTGCCTTAGGCACTATGCCACCAGAGCTCCCTGTTTTTTTTAGCGTAGCTGAGAAGGAAAAGGGGTTTTGAGATTGGCAGACACTCAGCCTGATTTGCATCTCTCTAATAGCTAATGATTGTGAGCATTTCTTCATATGTTTGTTGGCTACCTGAATATCCTCCTTAGTGAAGTGTCTATTCATGTCTTCTGCCCATTTTTTAATTGGATTATTTGTCTTTTTGTTATTGAGGTGTTGGAGTTTTCTATGTGTGGTATGTGAGATGTGTGTGTGGGATGTGTGGTGTATACATATAGTGTGTGGTGTGAGTGTGTGGTGTGTGTGGGGCATGTAATCTTCATCTGGGGTGATGGGCCTAAAAGATGTGTGACAGTGTACATTTTTCTTCATAGAAATTTAAAAGTCTGTTGATTCAAGAACTTTCTAAAGTATTCCCAGAAGACATGGCCAAGTATCGGAGCATCCGAGGAGAGGACCATCCCCCTTCCTAAGTGGCTTCTTGTTCCTGTCTGAGGATGCCGACCTGGGCCTTCATTGATCGTGGTGACAGTGACAAAGGTCTGACTGTGAGCTCCTGCTGCCGATGGGGGTGGGTGGCCGTCAGCCTCAGAGATGGCAGAGGGGCCAGCGACCGTACTGTCTCCTGGTCAGGCCTGCGGATGCCTGGGGGCCGCGTGGCTTCTGCTGCGGATTACTGGCTCCCTGCCCATGAGGAGTACCCACACCCCACTGCCATCAAGTTGACTGTGACTCATAGTGACCCTCAGGACAGAGGGGAACTGCCCTGTAGGGTTTCCAAGACTCAGTCTTTATGGCAACAGCCTGCCTCATGTCTCTGCTGCTGGTGGGTTCACACTGCTAACCTTTTGGTTAGAAGCCGAGTGCTTAACCACTGTGCCACCAGGGCTTCTTGGGGAATTGGGCCCAGAAAATAGTTTTGGAAATTTGAAATGTAATTTGTAAAATAAAAGTTTTTAGAAATTATGCCTCCTATTTTTGTTCTTATTTATTCTTTGTTCCATTTTATTATGGTATCAAAGCAAACTAAAAACGAAGCTTGGTATAGCGTGGGAAGCACTTCCACACCTGAGTTTGTATTTGCGTTTTCTGGTCGAGTGCGTCAAGAATGTAGTAAAGGAACTTCACATCGACCTGATCAGACAACGTGAACATCAGAGTCTCATTGTTCACATGCTTGCTGTAGCATTCTTTTTTTTTAAATTGTGATTTGGGTGAAAGTTTACAGAGCAATTTCAGTTTCCATACAGCAGTTCACACACACGTTATGTCATGACATAGACTACAATTTACCCCAATGCAACAGCTCCCCTCCCACTTCCTCCCGAAAACCTCTTCCCTGTGTCCATCCCTCCATGCCCTCCTGCACCTTGAACTTCTCCCTGTGCATAAACAGCTCCTCTTTCTCCCATGAATATTCTTTCCTTGCCTCAGTTACATGTTCATCTCACATGCCTGTCTTCTGTTTGGTTGGAAGCCACAGGTGTGGGTTCAATTCCAGACCTGAAGGCCAGCTATGGACCACAGTCTCAGTGGTTCCACCAGGCTCTATCAGACCAGCAAACCTGCCCCCCTCCCCCTTTTTTTCTCCAAATGATTTTGAGTTTTGTTCCACGTTGTTCTCTCTCTCTCTATCCAAGATCTCCTCCATAGATCCCCCTTTGAGTGGTTGACAGTGGTAGCCAGGCACCATCTAGTTCTTCTGGTCTCATAGTCATACAGGCTGAGGATCACATGGTGTACAGGTCACAAGGACTAATTGTTTCCATGAATCTTTGGTTTTCTTCGTCTTTGCTCTGGTTGAAGAGAGACCCATCGTTGGATCTAGATGGCTGCTTGCAAGCTTTTAAGATCACAGTTGCTACTCGCCAAAGTAGGAGGTGGAACAATGTTTTGTGTAGTATGTTACGCCAGTTGAGCTTGATGTCGCTTGTGACTATGGTCCCGAACCCACAGGTTCAACTACTTAGTCCCTATGGGTAGCTGGCTGTGACCAAGAAGTGACTACAACCTTGTCCTCTGTCAGCTCTACTATCCCCCTGGGAATTCTTACAGAACATACAAATACACTTGTAGGAACACTGTCTGCCAACTCTATACATGGTCTTGGGTACACTCCCTGCTGCATAGACATCCTAATAGTTCAGCCTGCCCACCCATCTATCCACCCATATACCTGTGTTTGCCTTCACTGACAATGCAGTACTATATGTGCAAAAGGGTTCATCTTTGTTGTCTGTACCTCCCATGTACCTCTCTATGTCTTCCTCTTCC